TTGCTTGTTCAGACCAAGTTGTCGATTTGCTAAAAATGACAGTTTGGCATATGCTATAATTTCAGGTGGGGCAATGCCAAATGGTATGTGAGTTGTGTTCACCCTATTTCGCTCAAGGTGATGAAGGACCGGTAGTTGAATTTTCCCACAATGATGAGTAGAGCTGATGCTTTATATTGAATTTCGCATAACCTTGCCTTCCCAAAAGGTATTTTCATCCAGGATGGACTGCAGTTTCGACCTCGCATAGACCTTATCTAATCCTAAAACGACAGTACAGCGTGTAAGTTCGACGCACTACCCACTACGCCAAAATTGATATATCTGATTTTATGGTAGTTTCAAAAACCTATTACTTACGAAAAAAATGTCAAATGGTATCAGATACTGTGCTAGCGATAGGAGATGTCGAGTCTATTTGCCTTTAAACGCGTAGGAAATTTGGTTTTCTAGAAATCGCTTATCCATAAATCACTACTATAAATTTGATTTTCATTTTATCCATCCTAATTGATATGCATGTCTTGATGGAACAACAGCAAGATCAAAACAACCGGCATACTTGCATAAAACATCATCAATACGATCAGGCGAAGTTTACGTTAATTAAGGAATGGTAGTTGAATTTTTACACAATCATATGAGTAGGTCTCGTGTGTCCGTTGAATTTCACATAGCTTTGCCTCCTAAAAGGTATAATCATCCAGGCCGTACTGCGGTTTCGACCCTCAGCGGGACTCGAACCTGCGCCAAGACTATACCTTGCATTACCAGGGTTTTAGTCCTGCTGACGGTTCTGATGAGACCAAGGCATGGTCAAAACTTCGTCCACTCCTATCTAGAGGAGAACACCTTTCGGTAACTAAGGTTTCGTGAGATTGACTGGAAACGTAAGGTCTATTCATATCATTGTGAGAGAATTCAACTACCCGTTCTTCGTTATCTAAAACTGAACATCTGCAGGCAATCTCGAAAACCCACCTAGGATCGTTGACAATACCATTACAGAATTGTGATATGATAAAGGTATAGGCTTCGTTGAAATTCACTTTTGCCTTCTGACTCAAGGACACTCGTGCCAGTGTGAAGTGGTGGCTAACGTGTCGAGACTCTACGCTGCACTATCACAATCCGAGTTCGAGTCCCGCCGGGGATATTGATGGCAGCAGTTGAAGCCAGTTCGAAACTGCAGTTTTCTCCTGCCTGGAGGAAAATACATTTTAGAGAGCAAGACTATAGGAAATTTACCATACGATCACTTCATACAGCTCTCATCTCCAATCTGCTGGTGGTCTCGAAAACCGTCTTATGATACGAAAAATAAGTGGCATTTTCATCGGTCCCACCTAAGCTTTGTATACATAATACCATCATCACAACGTTCATCCAACTGCTAAAGCGTGCGAATATTTCTGTTTACCAGCAAAATGATAGGTTTACTGGAACTGTTGGAAATCGTAACGACAACGTTTGGAAGGAGTATAAGTAAAGCAAAGCAGTTTTGTCTGAAAGTGCTTAGGCCAGCACATTGGAAATACTGCGTTTTTGTGGCATATAATGTGCTGATTGCTGTCAGCAGCAAAGGAGGGACCCGGAAAACGGATTGTTTAGCAAAAAGGCCCACTTGCTGTCAAATCAACACAGTCCAAATAACTCTGCCAGTGGATATTTCCGTCTCTTTTGCTTCTGGCTTGGTCTGTTGTTTGCTTTTCTAGCTTTGCAGAGACTGTGCTGGCGTCAAATGAGCGAAACTGGCAAGCTGCGACGGGCTCATTACGAGAAATGCATTCGACTTTTGGTGGTTCATTGTCTGAGGCAGCTCGAATTCAACGTCAATGTTGCCAGCCGAGACGTCGGAGAGCCGGATCACGTCATCCAAACGTGACTGCATCGCCTGCTGCAGGCGGAAGCTTTCGGTGCTTTCTGGATCCTGGCCATGTTGTGGTTGTTGTTGGTACTGGCGATGGGATTGCTGTTGCTGTTGTAACGCGGCAGCAGTGGAGGTGAAGAGAGAAATGGGCAGATCGGGGCAAAGATATGCCGAGTGGGGGAGGAAATCGGGAGATTGTGTTGCCGGCATAGTTGCCATGGAGGAGTGGGGGGCGGCAGACTTCTGGACCGGCAACGAGGCTGGTGTAGACAGTTTGGAGAATCCACTGGACGTGTGTGTGTGTGGCGCCGTGTACCATTGGTCTTGCCCGTAATCTGGACTGTGATTGTCCTGCGGTGATGACCGGTTGCTGGAGTGGCTACCAATCGAGGGGGGCAGCAACTTGACGGTTTGAGTCCTCGGGCCGGGGTCGCCAACGCCACCAGAATGGGCCAACAGCCGACGTATGAACATCAGTTGGCTCGAACAACTCTTGTCCAGTTGGGGCAGATGGGCTGTCTCGCAGGTGCCGTTGCAGAGCTGCGGACCGGCCGGCTGGCTCGGCCAACTGGCAGGACAAAAGGCGGTCGAGGCGGACTCGACGCCGGCGGTGGTCTCGTCGGTTGGGCACGAGGTTTGCGCCTGAAGGCAGGTGAAGCATGCGGCCAACGAAGCGGCCAACTCGTGGCCGGACAGCGAAGAGCCGGTGAGACGAGCCATCAACTCGGCCAGTCCGGACGAGGAGAGGCTGGACTCGCCGACGGGTTGGGGGCTGCCTGGCAGATGGAGGCTTCGGACGGAGGCGGGCGTCGGAAGGGTCGGGGCGAAGATGAGGCTGGGCAGAAGACCGGCTGAAGGTGGTTGAGTCGATGGGGCGGTCTGGAGAAGAGGCGAAGAGGGCGGAGGCGGAGGCGGAGGCGACGGAGTGGGCGGTGGTAGGGAAGACGAGTGGGGGAAAAAGGGGGCGGAGGGAGGGGAGGTGAGAGAGAGAGCGGAGGTCTGCAGAGGCATTGGAAGATGCGCATCGAATGGTTCGCCCAGTTGAGGTCTGGCGAGGCCGGTTTGTGGGCCCATGGAAATCGGAGGTAGCACCAGCAGGGCAGGACTGCTTGGGGCGGAGATGGTGGTCGCCGAGGCGAGGATGGGTGTGGCGTTGGTCGCCAGGCTGGCACTCGTGTTGGCCGTGGTACGGGCTTTGGCAGTGACAAGGCTGGCCTGGAGACCGAGCAGATAGCGGCTGGAGGCTTGACGTTCTGCTTCACGTTCCTCGATTGTCTGGCGTCTGGACGTGTCGTATTGCATTCGAGGGATTGACAATTATCCGAAATGATAGGACATTTTACATTTAGCATTATTTTTATTGTA